GGAAAATCTTCACATACTTATCATCGAATGCAATTTACAGTTTCATCAGAATTGATAGTAAAACACAGGCACTTGAAATTTAAGTCCGTCCAAAATATTCGCTAATGGCTGTGAGCAAAATGGAAGCATCAGTACTTGTTTGACAAACATTATTAAATTCAGCCACACTGAAAAATGAGTTAAAATTATGTACAATAATCGAAAGTGTGTTACCGTCAAAAGTCTTTGAGTCAGACTTGCTCTGCAGCGTTTAAATATGCAGACATTAAACCGGGATCTTCAGCGGTTACTCAGGTCTAAGTGTCTCATTTTTATTACAAAACCGATTTTTTTTGTTTTTAAAAAGGGAGAGAGCTGAAATGGCAATTTAGATTGCATAACTACACTTTAAAAACCCAATATTTACCCTACTTTCCCCAAATCCATAAGGTAAAAATATTTCTTTTCTATGCTCTACTTTTACACCAAAATGATCAACAAATAGCAGCAGGAGCTTTGAAGGATCATACAACCCAGCAATTACAGGATCAACAGAGAACCGCCACCTGTATACAACAAAAATCGGGTTTGTCCTGCAGTTTGACTCAAAGAGGTGTTGTAGTGAAACTTGGAACAACAATGTATTTTACCCTTGCCTGTACAGTCATGCAAAAAACAAAAGACATTCCTTTTAAATCCAAAGGGTAACGGGGTCTAGCTCACATTTTTTCTCCCACTTTTGCTTTTCGCTTAAGAATAATAAAACTCTTGGCTTACATGCAGTTTTCTACTCTTCGGTTTAGATTGAAGTTGTTTTAGAAGAAGTTTAAGGGGAGAACCAGAAGGAGCAAGCTCTTTTTGGTCAGCCGCAGCAGGCAGGTGCAAACAAATTTCAGCTTAAAAAAAAAAAGAAAGAAAAACAAACAATCACAAATATTGCATCAACCACAAAGACAGCAAAGTCTAAAATCCCCCAAAATACATCCATCAACTGTAGATGTAAAGTAAACTGATTTGATGTCCCTCCACATCAAATCAATTAGAATAAAATCACACTAATCCTTTGATAGACTCGTTTGTCTCCATGTTGGAGAAGACCAAGTAGAGGAAGGCTGCCAGAGCCAGGAAGAAGACGAACTGGAGCCACAAGGGGATCAGGCGGGACGACTTCTGTGCCTTTGGCTTCTCTGGTTCCGACTTCTTGGGCGTTGGTCTGGCGTACGAGTTGCTGCTGTAGGTGGACGGAGTGTCGTACATGTAGGGCCTGAAACAACAAGTCAGGCTGCGGCTGAGGATTCGTCATGTGTCAAACTAAATCTGCAGAGCTGCCGTGTATTTACCTGATAAAAAGCTGGCTCATGACACAGTTAGACTAATTCAGTTTACAATTTAGCTTCTGTGCACCGATGTTCCTCACTGATCAGTTAAATGAAGTTGGGTAATTCGTAAATGTGAAATCCGGTTGAGAGTCACAAAAACACAAACTTTGACAGTGAATACAATTTGTAAATGGTTTGCATTTACATCTTTTTTGAATTTTGTATAAACGCCATAGAAATAGTTTCCACAATTTCTTGAAACATGTCAGCAGATCATTCAGCTTGTAGGAGAGAGAGACTTTGCAGAGTTGCTGCCATTCTGTGCAATTTTGAAAATGTATGAAATTCACTTCAATCCATTTTCAGGTCTAGATAAATATTGTGATTCATTGCCTTTCATTCTCTAAATAAAAATAGTCTCCTAATGCTCAATCAATGATGTAGTTTTAATTTAGTCGATATAATATTGACTAATTGATTAAAAACTATATCAGCTTTTAGTCTGGAAGATAAAGACTCTGAAATGAAGCTGATTTATCTGCAACTTTTTAAAAATAAAACTTGCTTAAAAAAGTGCATCCAAACGGCACAAAGTATAAAAAGACTAGACATTTTTAAAAATAATTTCTGAATAACTGATAAGGTATTGAAAGAATACAACCGAGGTTTGCAGAAGAAAAAAAAAAAAGCTATGTCACAGCAGCTGAAGTGAGGGTAGGATATTTCACAGATGCACTTACTGATCAACCAAATCTCTTCCTCCGTATTCAGGCCTGGAACTTGAGTAGCTCGAGTAGGAAGTGCTGCAGACAGTCATATAAAAGTAGAAGATTCAAAGGGCTTTAAAACAAAAAAACAAAACAAAAATAAAATCCCAATTTCACGAACTGCTTATTTTGACTTACTCATGCCCATATTCCCCCTCAGCCCATTCTCGCCTGGATCTCATGTAAGACCCCCTATAGCAACAACACAGACTGGTTTGTAATCGCTAACCCGATTTAGTGAAGTAAATGCAGTGCAAGAAAGAAAACGGAGAAACTGACCCGTCTCCAGAGGTCTCGCTTCTGGTCTGAAAGAAAATGGAAACAAACTGTAAGCACTGAAGTTGAACACAAGTGTGGGTGTGAAGACAGCACATCTACGCTACGAGCAACTTCCACTGTTAAGCTACATGCAGAACTGTTGTTCAGGGTGTGTGGCTCAAATTTTCAAAAACAATCACATCGCTGACTTTTAATTGAAAAAAAAAAAAAGTTTGTTCGGAAGTGCACGTTGCACCTTGTAAATAAGAAGTTCCAGAAACACCTGACCAGAGGGTGGGGAGAGATACTTACTGGTGTCCTGTAAACATAAGTGACTTCTTCCTCTGTAAGAAAACACAAATATCACATTGAATATCAGATTTTCCTACAAATTTACTGTTCAGAAGTATCAGAGATCTCATTGTCTTGGATTTTCTAATGGAGAATTGTGTGGTAATGCTTAATGTAAGCTGTAGTTTTTACATTGATAGATAGATAGGTATAAACACAACACTTTGGTTTTGGCACGCATCGTGCATGAGGCCAAAGACTTCTACGAACACAAAAGGCCTCGTTCTTTCAAATATGATTCACCGATCTCTCTTAATCTGGGGTAGTGAGCACGTCTCCCTTGCTGACATAATCTGTCATAGTCACATATCAAAATGAGGATTAGACAGTATGATTACTACACAAGAGTGCCTTAGGCTGGCCACAATAAAAGGCCACTCCAACCTGCAGTTTTACTAAATTGGGGGGTTTCCGTTCAGCATCTGACTTAAATTTGACTCTGGTCAATAAACCCATCAGTCATCAATCAGGTTGATGATTGTAGCCTGTGAAATGTTGGTGCCCTCCTCTTCACTGTAAAGTTCTTGGATATTTGCAGGACCAGGAGCGTATCGCTGCAAACGCCGATCCAGAGCATGTTGACAAGTCTGGTGAGTCTGCTGGCTGTAGAACAGCTGGGATGTTTCCAGCTTCCAGGGATTGTGTACAGATCCTTGCAAAACGAGGTCATCAATTACCATCACCAACATGAGGTCGTGGATGCATGGTACAACAACTGGTTCTTGATATTGTATCAATAAAATGCAACCATAACCCCACCGTCACGATGGGCCACTCCATCAATCAATCATCTCTTCCATTGATTATAATAGGCATGTATCAGATTCCCCATTCCAATAGCTCTCTATATGACCAGCCAAAGATTTCAAGGGGAGTGGCAAAAGCAAATGGGGTGGAATAGCAATTGCTGCCAGCAACCTGAAGAGTTATATAGGACACGTCGCTATGAAATATCAGTACATTTGATTTCCTTTTCGGGATAAATAGTCATTTTAATTTAACTGAACTTTATGAGAGAGATCAATATTTCGACGACACACACACAGTATAGCAATACTGTTTGCATTTGGATGCATTGTGCAGCCATGAAAAGTACCAAAGAGAACCTGCGATAAGAGAAGTCAAAGGTCAACCCCATGACCCCAGCCTATTGAAACGAACTGAGTGTGTAAAGGACTGTTTACCCTCCTCTCTGTAGTAGGTTTTATCGGATGATGGTTTGGCTTTCTTCCCCTTGGCCATGGCTTCCTTCAGCTTCTTCACGTACAGACTCCTGGTGGTCTCTGAGCACGAGCAGACATCACACACACAAAGCAACGTTAACGACGACGAGCAGCCTGCAAACCACACCGAACACTTTCACGGCCCGCCGAGGTCCACTGACGGTGAGTCACTCACCAACCACAGGTCCATGTTTGATCCCGTACTCATCCAGCAGATCGCTGATTTCCTGCGGAGTCTTGCTGTCCAGCGAAGTCATTTTGGCCTATTTTGTTCGGTTTCTGTCTTTGGTTCGACTCGGCTGTCCTTTTTCGGACTTATTGGCGGTTAAGTGTAGTTTAGTTTCTTTTGGCGTCAAAGGAAAACCAAATCGACTCCTCCTACACATGTGAGCTCGATTTCTGTGCCCGGCGAGCCGCGGGAAAGTCGTGTGCATTCCGAATCCTAATTCCGCCCTTCCGGAGTTGATTTGAGACGAAAAACAAACGCTCTCCCCGACGATTTGCGCACAACTTCCGGTTCGCCTGGATTTTTCTTTGTTGGAATTGTTTTCGGTGTTTTACGGAAGCAGCGCCACCACCAGGCAAGTATGAGTATGTAACACTTTACACGGTAAAACCAGAGAGGCGGTTTGACTGAATATTTTCATTGCCTGGTTAAAAAGGCACCTACTGTCTGTCTCTGTGTTGCAATGCGACAGACTGCTGACCTGTCCAGGTGACACCCCCCCCTTTTTTTTTTGAATGATTACATTTTAAATTTACCCTCACAATTTTATTCTGCACAGAAAGAAAACCTTTTCATTCAGTGTTTGGTGGAGTTAGATTATTCTCACACAGGAAATCAGTGCAGTGCCTGAAGCAATAGGTGTGGTTACATTGTCTTCAGGTAGAGAGGTTTGATTAGTGAGCCTTTCTGTGCCTCTGTTTGCTCAATGTGTGACTGGCAACCACAGAGGCGCTTGTGTTATGTAAGGTTAACTTACTTGTTTTTGTCATTTGACAAGAGAAATGTGTATTTTTGCCAGTCTTCTTCCTGACATTCGGTCTTTTAAATGAGGTCTGTTTGGCATGTCTCCAAACGTTTGCAGGACACCGGCCCTCAACCAGAACCCTGGTTTGTTTTGTGATTTTGAATCATATTTGCGTTTGGTTGAAAATGTTCAGCTCAGAAAATGAGATTCATAAATTCGGTTGACATTTCAGCACTTTAATTCACAAAATCATTACCACACGATTCATAAAAAAAAAAAAAAAACGTTTTTTTTTTTTCTTGTAATTTACATTTATATATTTCCAAAGAAAAGGTCAGAAAAATAGCATCAAAGGTAGAAATGCATTTGTGTACAGAGTTTTTTTTTTTTTCATTCTTTATAACCAAAGTGAGCTGCGGCTCTAATAGAAGAGAAACTGTGTGAGCCAGTCGGGTTGGTCCGTGGTCAGGTAGAACATCATCAGCCCGGTCACCGTCAGCACTCCCAGCGTCACAATCAGCTTCAGTGTCCTGAAAGACTGGGAGAGCAGAGGACGGTCAGTCAGAAAATAAGCTTAAAAGGAAACACTCTGGGTTAAGATCTTGAGTAAACACACACCTTGCGCGTCGCTGTACAGGTTTGTGTGTTGACGACGTCTGCCGGACTCTGGTGCTGCTGAACGATCGGGGGGTCAAACACAGGTTTGATGTCCTGGTCTTCTTCAGGCTCCCGCGGTTCCTAGTCACAGACAAATCAGGCCAGTTATGTATTCATCACCTAATGTGGCCTTGCTACACCTTGTCACGTTACAACCAGAAAGTAAATATGTGGGGCTGAGTAATATAACTGAAAAGTGGAAGAATGACAGAATTTGAAGCACTCATTGTGAATCTGCTGGCATACTGCTGATTATCGCAGCACTCTAGATTAATCCAGGTTAAACATGACTGGATGTATGAGATGTCTTGTTTATATACAGTGGATTTTATAGAATAGAATAGGATAGAAAAATATTTTGCTTTGGTTCTTAATAGATATATTATAGGAGTCTGTAGATAGCATTACTACACAATGATAAATAAATTGTACATATTTTGAAAGGGTAGAAATTGTGACATGAAGCAGAAATTGGACATGTAAATATGTACATGGGAGATTTTTGAGTGAGGCAGTAGGAAGAACTGGACATAAATTTTGGTTTTTTATGTTTGATTATTATGGGGTCTTTTTGTTTGTTTACTTCTTACTTGCTTATTGTTTTGCTCTGACATTTTACATGTTTGAAATGAATAGAGATTTAATTACATTTCATATTACATCCCACTTAAATCTAAGTTTGCGGTTGTAACAGATAACATGAAGCAGTTCAAAATCTATTTGATTAGATGAATGATTTTGCAAGGCTTTGTTTGTTCTCTCCTTCTCTGGTGTGCTGTCTAAGTGAATTAAGATCTTCTTACATCAGATTGTTCTGCAGAGCTCGAGTCTTCGTCCTCGTCCTCAAATTGTTCCCCACTGCTCAGGTCATCCTCCGTATCTTCAGATTGTTCTGCAGGATTCAGATCTTCCTCGTTGTCTTCAGATTGTTCTGCAGGATTCAGATCTTCCTCTTTGTCTTCAGATTGTTCTGCAGGATTCAGATCTTCCTCTTTGTCTTCAGATTGTTCTGCAGGATTCAGATCTTCTTTGTCGTCGGATTGTTCTACAGAGCTCAGGTCTTCCTCCCTGTCTGAGGAGCTGCTGACTGAGTCTCTGTCACTGCAGAGAAGCACAAATCAAGCAGAAACCGTTTTTGTTTCATCTGCCATGCTTTGCTTTACAGTACACTTTAGCACTGGCAGAATTTTACCCACCTGTCAGTTTCATAATAATTCACTTGAGATAAGGGGTCCGCACAAAACTGAACTTTTATCTGCCTCTCTGAAAAACACCAACAATTGGAAACCGATCAGTTGTTTATCACACGAGGAAAGACTGAATCTGTGTTCTGGAAACTGACCTTGTTGCCCGTTCTCGTCATCGCAGTTGTCGTAAAATTTTTTGAAAGCTTCGATTCTCTGCTTCATCTGTTCAAAGTTTCTCCTTTCTTCGTACTCATCTTCCTCCTCTTCTTCCTCCTGCTCCTCCTCCTCCTCCTCTTGCTGTCCATCATCAGTGAAGTCATTGGGTTCAGTATTGAAGAAGAAGCTGTCGTCGATGGATCCTTGGACGAACGGACTTGCTGGTATCGAGTTTTTCTTCTCCACCACAGAGTATCTGTTGACATCTTGATCCGGACACTGATTTCTCCCTGAATTAGGTGATTCTGTCCCATCTGTGTCCTCTCCACTCAGGAAGAATTCATACAGGAAGGTTTTGGTTTCTAACTCACCGAACCCTGAGGTGAGGAACTCAGCAGGATCGTGTCTGTCACGCACAAAGCTGCCATCATCAGAGCCGCTGGCACCAAGAGATTTGATGTTCTCCAGGTTTGTGTCGTCTTCAAGGACTCGGGTTCTGGACTTATCTGAAAATACATCACTGGATCTTCTCAGCGGCTCTTCATCCTCACTGGAGCTGTAGGAGTCGCTCTCACTTGTCTTCTCTTCATCATCAAAGCTAGTCCCGCTCAACAAATGCTCTGTTTTCCTCTGAACTTCATCTCCAGCTGCTTCATCCAGGCTCATCATCATTTTCTCCACATTTACTTCTATATCTCTGCTAAACAGGAACTCTTCCTCCTTCCCAGAACCCGCCTCCTCAGACCCGTGGCTCCACACGCTTTCGGTCCCGGCTCTTTCCAGGCCTGCTTCCTCCCGTGGACGAGGCGAGGCGCTCCGTGCAGCGGCAGCATTTCTGCCGTATTCACCAGAGGAAAAGTCTGAGGGGTAATCTGCAAAGCTCTCGCCTGCCTCCTGGTGCTCCTCGCCAGTGAAGTCTGACATTTTCTCTCTGTAAACCTCACCATCCACTTCAGAGATGAGATCCTCCAGATTCTGGAGAGATATGCAGGAGAACTCCAAACCAAAATCTGCTGGATCGACAGCGCTGGGTTCTTCTTTCTCTTCCTCCTCAGTTTTCACACCTTCGTCGTCGGATTCAGAGGAGTCCGGTTCGACCTCTTGTTCCTCCTCACTCTCAGGACTTTCTACAGCGTTAGCATTTCTACATCCGTCCTCCTCTTCATCACTGTGCACCTCTTCTTGCAGCTTGTTGCTGACTTGAAGCTCATCAACATCTTCCAGGATCTCAGAGTCTTCATCCTCCAGGATCCCATGCACTGTTTCATAAATTGACTTCAGTCTATCGTCTTCTTCCTCTGGGCCTTCAGCCTCCTCCTCTCCACCTCTTCCAGAGCAGAAATAGCTCCGTTCTTCTTCGTCAGAGCTCGAGCATTCATCGTCCTCTGGGGTCTCACTGCTAAAACGGGCCCCATTAAGCCCCTCTTCATCATTTTCCTCATCAGTCTGCTCTTTGTCATCTGAGTTCGGTGCGTCTGCATTGGGGCCCTGCAACGAAGCTGCACCTTCTGCAGATGCTTCCTGAAGCCGAGCCTCGTTGTTCTCTGTCACTGGGTTTTTGTTCTGTTCTTCCTCGCTCTTCTCATCAAAACATAAGCTCTCAAAGTCCAAATCTCCCGTGGAAAACGAGGGAACCGAACCCTCTGCAATCAGAAAAAAAAAAACATCTGAGTGAAATCCTATAACATAAAAACAATAATATTGCTACAAAAAAATGTTTGTTTGTTTTTTACCTGAAAATGCATCAGTGAGAAGATCAGCAAAGCCCTCCATCTTAACAAACACAAGTCAATGTTAAAGCAGAATTCATGTGAAGACTAATTTAAATCTGTTGTAACAGTCTGTTTCTAAAAAAAAAAAAAAAAAAACCCAAAGACAGCTCAATGTAACTCCTCTGCTTTGGCTGCAAGTGACTTCCTGTCGAAGAGATCGAGCATAAATCCACACACAGCCACAGAAATATGTTGCTGAAAAGCAACTGAAATGAACTCACCATAAAAGATGAAGACGGAAGAAAAATCTATTTTGACCCCGTCTGAAAAGTAAAACCTTAAGACTCAAGTTGTTTGTGTTTTGTCCTTTGCTGCTCTCGCGCACCTTCATGAGCTCATGAAATGATGTCAGCTTTGATGTGGGTTTGGTTTCAGAAGCACAACACAAACCCCAGCAGACGAAAACGCTTCGTGCAGAAACACTGTTCGCCGGTGCCACCTTGGCGAGGAGCGAGACTAAAAGCACAGAGACTGTTTCTCTTGATCGCTTTGTTAATTCATTTCTTTTTTATTTAAAACAAGAAAAAAAATCAAAAATCAAAACAAATGACATTTCAGGTTAAAATAAGTCTTGCTCGGGGGTGATGTGCTGTGACCTACAGCTCGTTCCTCAGGAGGTAGCGGTGAGTTGGCCTCAGATCAACTTCAACAGGAAAATGGTCGCTCACCTCAAGAGCCTGAAGGGACAAAGTGACGCAAATATTATCACGCTTACATGCAGAGAGTCACTAAAATCAGGTGTTTCACATGTTCACCTCTTGCTCTGTAAGATGGAAGTTTTCCTTAAAGTTAAACACTTGAGCCGAACCAGGAACTACGGCAGAAATAATCTCCCGACCGTGAACAATGATCCTGTGTGATTAAAAATTAAAAAAAAGGCAACATTGACCATCAGAAAAAGATACATGGAAACATGCACACCTCGCCGTCTGACCAAGACTGTTGCAGAATGCCTTCATTATGACTTTAATAGTTCTAATTTATTGCTTTATTCTACAAATGAGAAATGGATTAGCATGGCTGCTTCAAGACATAAATACATTAGCTTGTTATTTTAAACCTTTTGTCACAAAAATCCTAAAAAATAAAAAAAGGTCCTTTTTTTTTGCTTTCATTGTGTAATGTGCCATGCAATGTGTTTTTTGTAATCAGTGTCTGACTCAGTCTGACTACACTGGTAATGTTTTCCATCTAATGTTCTCTAAAGTTCTTGCACAATTTGTTTTGTTTTGCCAAAACTGTCAGTGGGAACAATTCCTGATGTCACCACCTGGTTCTGGGCAATCTAACAAGCTACCACATAAACGCCGCTGAGATTGGATATGCTTGTATCCTACTCCTTAAACTCAGAAAGAGAGACATTGACCTTTTGAAAAGGTCAGATTTTTGTTTGGTTTGATCTTTTTATAGCTGCGAAGTGTGCAATTAGAGATCTCTGCTGAAGAGGAAGCCACACTTCAGACTGAGATACCGACGAAACTGAAATGATGAGATTCTTCATGCACGCCTGTAGTAGTGCAGCCATATCTGTGCGACCCGGCCTGACCTGTCGTAGGCGCACCGAGTCTTCTCCCTGACCGTCGTGTCCTGCTCGTCTCCGATCAGCCAGTGAAATCCGGGATCGTTCCTGAGGCGCACGGCCTTCCACCCTTTCACGGTGACGTAGCTGCAGCCTGCGTTTAGGTCCCCCAGGATGATCACATTCTGGAAAAGAGGAAGCGAGGCATTACTCATGAAGTGTACGTGTAGAAAAGAGAAACCAGCTTGGATCAAGGTGCTTTGGCTAAAAACAGAACCAAGTTAGACAAAACTGATGCTGATGATAACGGCGAGGTTTCGTCTACCTCAGTTTTCCATTTCTTGCGAATCTGTTTGACAACACCGTACAGCTCATCGATCTCCTGCATGGCTGTTTTTGGACATGTGTGTTGCCCAACAAGGACAAAATCCTTGACCACTAGAAAGGAAACACTTTTAGTCAATGGTTTACTTCAGATCTTCTAGATAAGCATGTTTATGTTCAGAAGGCTCCAAATATTTGAAGATACAAGTCATTTCATTTTGAATTTTGCTTAAATTAATGCACCTTTTCGTCTGAACGTAAACAATAGATGAGTTTTATCTTCACACCGTACATTACCATATAGCAAGTCTGTAATCCTTGCAAGGACTGCCTTGAACTTTTTCCACATTTTGTCAAAATACAACCATAAATTAGCTACAGATTTGATATGACAAACCAACACAAAAACTCACTCACTGAATAATCGCAGTGGGAGATATTACATTACAGGATAAATGATTAATTTATGGTGGCTTTTTAATACATCGTTATTAGGAGGAACTAGATGAAACTGCATCATGAATGACCTTGACTATAACTCAAGTCATCTCTGATGATTACAAGGAAACATCTGTGCTTAGCAGGAGTCAAACCTTCTGAAAACTGTTTCTATCATTCCAGAAGTAACAAGGTCATTCTCACTGTGACCTATAGCATTGTTTTTGTATCAGCTGTGGTCATTTCCTACATACAGCCAGGTTGTTTTTGGAAGCTTTTTGTCTTTTATCGAATGAAATCAACATGTGAAAACTGCTTTTGTGTTAACCCAGGTTATCCTCCTCTGACAGTAACAAATTTTGATGATCTGAAATGTCGACGTCAGACTTTTCTGGACTCTCAAAAGATGTTTCACAGTGAAGCCAGGCATTCCCATTGACATGCTGAATGTGTTTTAAATTAGTCAAAAAAGCAAAAACAGAAGAAACGCGCACGGGGGCAAAGAACGTTTTCTTGACAGTGTATATGTGAGGAGTGAATGGACTCTTATTTTGCTGTGTTTCTTACATGTTGTGGGGGAGTGAACGCGAATGACAAAAGGTTCTCTGGAGAAAACGTCGGTCTCATTGGTTCCCTCTCCCTCCACTTTAGGATGCTGGAAGCGCTCCTTGACCTTTAGCATATTATTCCTGCAGATGATCACACAAGAGAGATCTGTGAGCACATTTCTGGTCCAGAGCTGATTCTAAGAATCAGATTCGGTTCACTTCTGATTAGCTGAATTACTTGTAAATGTAGACATATTGCTCTTTGTAGCTCTTCCTGCCCAGTCGTTCACTTTCCTCGGAGGAATAGAAGTTGGATTTGTCGAATCTGATGACAGCGACATCAAGATATAGTAAATATACTGACTTTCTCACTCCAGACATCTAACCTTCCTGTTTGTACCTGTTAAGATCCTTGACCAAAGCTTGTATTGCTTCCCCTCTAGAGTCCCGGACCTCCTGAATGAGGCTCAAGTCGCACCGAGAGAGGATCTTGAGGACAAAAGCAAAAGAAGAACACAGGTAGATCTATCAGACACCTGGTTTTCCTCATGCAGTTTGTTTTAAACTCCCGGCAGAGTACCTTCAGCAGAACTCCCATCACCCTCTTGTTGTTTGCCTTGGATTCACCAAAACTCTGAACATTGAAAGCGCAGATTTTCAGAGAAGACGTGACGCTGAACGCGCACAGCCCGACCACAAGCAGCAGCCCAGTAGTCTTCATCTTGCAGACGTGAGTCGTTCTGTGAGTTAACGAAGCGGCAGAGCTTCACGGAGACTCTGCTTACCGTAAGAGAGAGGACGACCAGCAGACTGACTACAAGGACCCATCGCTTCACTGGTGCATTTGGGGAGCATACAGGTAAATGTGGTGGTGAGAGACGGGGGCTGTGCGCCGTGGATGTGCTGCGTCAGTGGATTTTGAGAATGGAGCTTCGTCTGGAACAGTTAAAACAACTAGAACACAATAAACAGTGGGAGAGGAGCTTTGTCTCTAAAGTTTGAGAGTTATCAGACAATAGATGATGCTGGAGGCTACACCTCTCAGCTCCAGGAACGATTACATGGAAAGAGCTGCAGCATAAAGCAACCGCAGCTGGTAATAAAGATGCATTTTAATGTTTAGAATAATTTTACTGCTGCCTAAAGTGAGGAAAATAAACAAAAATAAACTAGAAGAGTAATTTAAAAAAAACAGACACAGCACTGAAGAATAATTGATGCTTCTGCTAAATAAACTGAGTTTATTTCTTGTTTTTAGTGACAACACTGAAAGATTATAACCCAATTTAAGCAACTATTTAGAAACATTCAGAAATACTCGCCCACTTACCTATTTCCAGCCTTAGAAAGCATAAACATAAACCAAAAACGGGGTCATTTAAAGAGAGATGTGTGTGAGGTTTTGTTCATCTGTTCTGTGTGTCAGTTCCAGTAAAAACCAGTTTGCCACCACTCTTATCTCACTGACACAACAGCACCTTCCTGATTGATCCGTTTGGACGTTGGTCATGATGTCAAAATGCTAACGTCTAAAGTCACAATCTTTACCTGACCTTGAGAAATCTGAATAAATTAGAAAATATCTGCAAATACAATTTTTAATGTAGAATATTAATTTAGACAATGGCAGTGGTGTCACTGTGGTGTTTTTTTTTGTGCTTGTAGTTTGGTCTTTTTGATTTAATAATGTTCAAAACGTCTTGCCGTATTTAGGACATCGTTATTACCAAAAGGTTGTTGCCATAAATGTTCTACTTTTGTTGTTAGATGACAGGAGGGTGCTGAGTTGAAGAGAAAGTTACATTTTAGGAAATACAGTGTGGCTGTAGCGATATGAACAACTCGAGATCAAACTCAAACTACTCTGGCTGGACAACTGACTGCATAATATTAAAAACCCTAAGCCTAACCTTCCAGAGTTACAGCGTTCTTCTTGGCTTCTTCCTCCTGGGCTGCCATGTTAATTTAGATGGACGGCCATGTCCTGTTCTCAGATGATAGACTGGTAGAAGCTCGAAGAGACGTTCAAAGTTGATGACTTGCTGCTTGTTTAAAGCAGAAAACTTTCTCTCTGTATTTCTTGGTTTTCAAGATTTTTGTCCAGTAATGTCCACTAAGAAACATTTTTAAACATACAGATGGACCCTTTAGTCTGGGTTGGTCACTGCTGGAATTTGAAATCGAATTAATTTAGGGGTGTCGGACTAAGAGCTGCTGAACATGTCAGACTTTTTACATTTTAATTAGTAAGAAATTTTGAAAATGCCGTTTCCTTTTTGCTCAACTTCACAAAAAAATTTCAATAAAAAGTAAGTTGAAGTTTGTGGTTGGAATGGGACAAAATTATATAATTGGATGATTTGATATTTTAAACACTCCATAGAGAAGGAACCATTTGCAAGGTAATGCATATATTGAATTTAATAATGTAAAATGTTAATATTTCTGATAATTCAAATTGAAATAATCTGCAGTGAGGCAGTTTATTTCACCTTTATAAGATGTTTTGATTTGACTGA